ACGGCTTAGTTCACATAATTTTAAAGCCTATTGTCAACAATGTTCTGAGATCCTTTATATCCAATAATAATGCAGGTTTGTAAACAAACTATTTCCTGTAATATGTGCTAGCAAGAAAAAAATCCTGTAAGGCAGTCATTGAAATTCAGATACTGTTCTCTGTGTTATTCTCCAAAAGCATTTAATGGCCAACATGATCTTTACTGTGACTCCAACATTGAGTATTTAGGCTGGCAGCTTTCAAGGGCACATTTTGGCTGGCTCCACATGTCTCCAATAGGCTAAAATGAAAGTCAGGGACAGCACATTTTATGATGGATTTTTAACTTAACATTTAATACAGGAAATGACATACTTTCAAATGGAGCACTTTAAGAAATATTTGAATGACTTTAAGTTAAAACATGTCACCTGCTACAGGAACATATAATAAAGGTATACATTAAATCATAAAGAATAGTCTGAATTTCATAAGCCACATTTAAATATTCCTATAATATGCTTAATCTCTGTCTAACATCACCCAAACGGTTGAATTTTTGTATTCACGTGATAAGAGCACAGCTGGCAGAAACCAATAATCAGCCACTCTTTGAAGGACCAATGAGGCCATTACTGATTTGTGAATAAAAAGGCCTAGTTAAACTTGCTGTAATTAAATGAGACTGTGAAGCAATTTCTGTGACATTCATTCCGCAGATAGCTCAGGTATCAAAATATTTCAGATTCCTGCCTAATTTGCAATTACAAAAAAGAAATAGATATTTCTCAGAATTTGTAATAAGAAACTATCTGCTCACAACTCCACAGTGGCGGCACTAGTACGGGGCTTGACGTCAGAAACTTCCTTAGCCCCGGCACAGCCAACCACCCCCCCCAACTCCCAGTGTCACTTTCAGTAACACTGCAAAATAAACATTAAAAACCTAAAAAAAAAGGGTGCCTAATATGTGGCCTATAAACAACTAACATTATGGGGGAGGGGTCAATTAGGTGTGCTAAGCCTTAGGTAAGTGCGCATTAGCGTTCATTTTAAGTTTAGTATCAACAGCTATCTCGATGGAGCGCTATTGAATATCAAGTAAAAGACCGCAAATTTCAGACACTTTGCAGAATAGATGTGAACAATAATACAAGTAGACAGTCTCAAGTCCTCTTTACACTGGTGCGTTTTCATTTTAAAATGGCGTTTTAAAATGAAAACGATCCTCGTCTACACTTGCGTTTTCA